GCCCACTAGTGGGCAGTAGGGACCAGGTTGACTACCACTGCTGTATACTATGCATATAGCTCCCAACACATACACCATTAAGCCAGCAATGTAAAGTCCATCTTATCTCTGCTACCCCTAGCAATGTCCCACTGCAAGTCTCCCTTTCTAGGCTAAGCTGGGTGCTCTTGCACTCATCCTCCTCTTGCCTCTATATAATGGGCTAAACCAGGAGTCGGCAACCCTAAACACAAAGAGCCATTTGGACCCGTTTCCCACAGAAAAGAAAATACCGGGAGCCACAAAACCTACCGGGGGTCAAAAAGCTAAATAAATTGCGTGCTGAGGGGTGTAGCACATTGGCGGTTGTGACACATATTCTGAGTGATAGGGAGCCACAGCAGAGGGATGAAAGAGCCACATGTGTCTCCACAGCCATGGGTTGCTGATCCTTGGGCTAAACCTTGCAGAGGGTTTAGTGAAGATCCATGGCTTCACATGACACATCACTGCCAAAGGTCAACTTGAGAAAGGCAGAAAGCCTAGAAGGATCAGGTCTGAACTGAGATGGGACCAAAAAACGGCATGAATTCAACAGCCCAGCTTGCCTATGATTAAACTCTGATTTTTCATCTGTCCAATGAAAGGAGGAGACATTCTACTGCTCTATCACCCAAATACCTGTAACTTATTACACAAAGGGAAGAAAATGCCTGCAAAGGATAAAACACAGACCCTGAGTCTGGATTTAAAAGATCTGCCTTTGAAACACCACACTTTATTTGAATGCCACCTGGCAAGCACGGTCAATAATTCTGCGTGGCATTTTTAGGGCAACTAACAGACTCCACTTTATTTGCAGCATCAATGCTTTATTCCATTGCAGGTCTGCTTTTTTAAAAAAATTTGTAGAATCATACAAATGTGTATAAAGTGGCAGGTTCAAATTGCTTTCTGGGGAGATCAGGCTGAAGAATATATTACTTCTAAACTAAAAGTTATTCTCTATCATTGGGTGTCATCTAACCTTTCTTTTATTCCAGCAACTGTTTACTTCTCTATTTCTTCAAGGAGGACTAAAGAAAAGACTGAGTTGGATGGTCTCGGCAGATTTGGGCTCTCAGACTGTCCGCAGAGCTCTCTCCCCATCTATCTACCCCCCCCCCCCAAGCAATGCCATTCTTTTCCCCACCTAAAATATTTTCGTGCCTCAGCAACACGGTATTGTATAATTCTGTTTCCCTGAACCAGGACTTTTCATCTCGGGAAGAAAAGATCTTGACAGCAATGCTTTCTCCTTGCCATTGTCCTCGCCAGACTTCTCCGTATCGGCCTTTCCCTAGAAAGCATAAACAAAGGAGATTTTTTTTTATTTTTATCAACAGCTCTTCATTCAAAGGGAAAGTTTTTTGGGCTTATCGCCATCCATATTTATGAACTTTCAAAGGTTACGCTGCTGGACTGAGTGGACCTCTGAATCTCTACCATCTACTTATGGCAGAGATTGTCAACTTTGCAGGGACTTAATGAACACCCCCTAAAAAAAGAAGGGCAAGCTTGTATGCACCTATCCCATGAATAAACCCGATGGTATCATCAGGGTTGGAACTGGGTCAGAAACAAATTAAGTCACTTTTAGTAGTTACCCTTTATCCCAGAGATCAAGTAAATCATAGCAATAGCACTTAAGACTTATATACCGCTTCACAGTACAATTACAGCCCTCTCTAATCTGTTCTGTCTACAACAAAAAGACTTTTGACTAGAAATAAATGATTGTCTAATGCAGTGGTTCTCAACCTGTGGGTTGGGACCCCTTTGGGNCCCCCGAAATAAGCACTTGGCCTTATTTTTGGGGAGGTCTTATTATTTTTGAGGTGCAGGAGGTGATGAGTGTGGTCACCTCATGGCTGCTACTCTGTTGCAATATTTTTGGAGGGGGGCTTATTTTAGCGCATGAGTTCAAAACCATGATTGGGCTTGTTATCGGGGGAGGTCGTATTTTCAGGGAAACAGTTAGGACTAAAGACATGGAAACTCTCAAAATACTGCAATTTCTTGCTCTTTTCATCAGTACATCTAGTCCTTGACTTAAAACAGTTGATTTAGTGACCATTCAAAGTTACAACGGCACTGAAAAAAGTGACTTATGACCACTTTTCACATTTATGATTGTTGCAGCATTCCCATGTCGTGATCAAAATTTCGGTGCTCGGCAACTGGTTCATATTTATAGTGGTTGTGGTGTCCTAGGGTCATTTGATCAATGTTTTTGTGACCTTCTGATAAGCAAAGTCAATGGGGAAGCCAGATTCACTTAACAACCAGGTTACTAACTTAACAACTACAAGGAGTCACTTAACAACTGTGGCAAGAAAAGTCATCCAATGGGGCAAAACTCACTTAACAAATGTCTCACTTAACAACATAAATAGTGAGCTCAATTGTGGGTCGTGAGTCGAGGACTATTTGTATAATTCCTCTCCTTTTCAAAGTGAGCAATTCTTGTGTTAAATGATCATCGGGATGTGCAATGCTTTGGGATCAGTCTGGAAAAGATTTTTTGGAAACTGGAGGAGTATGAATAAACCAAATGCTTATGACTCATTGAAGCAGCTGCTTCACTTTCCAAGATGGCCTGCGTAGCAATGAATTCACAGCCAAGTCCTCTGTGGGCTCTGAAGCACTTTTTCTCAATTGAATCTGAAATCTACAGAATGATGTATTAACCTAGCATTTAAATGCCAGAACTTGGAGCTCATCTCCTCTGGCAGAAACCCCAAGAGCATTTTTTTCCAGCACCTACAATTTGCCACTAGTGTGGGGAGCTCTTCTCTGCACCAAAACATACACACAGACTACCCAATCCAGCCAACTCTTACATTTGCTTAAGTGCTCAGTTGGAAGCACAGCCAAAGCATTTCCCAGAAACGAGAAAAGGCTTGTGTAGACTAGAGGAATAAGATACTGAACTGGATTTAAAACTTGAGGGAGAAATAGCTTGATAAAGGGTCTTCCTTTATTGACAATGGAAACTAGAGCACCAGTTCCACTAGAAAGAACACTACATTAAAAACAAAGATGGGAGGATAACAGGGACATTTAAATCTACCAGATGTACCAAAGGACTCAGATAACAGAAAAGCACTTGAATGCTTCCCCATAACTCCAAGTAGCTCTTGAAGTAAATATAGATTAGCTTTAGCCACCACCACACTGAAATATGGAAACAAATGTACAGAAAGCATTTAAATATATACTGTATACCAGGGGTAGTCAACCTTTTTATACCTACCGCCCACTTTTGTATCTCTGTTAGTAGTAAAATTTTCTAACCGCCCACCAGTTCCACAGTAATGGTGATTTATAAAGTAGGGAAGTAACTTTACCTTATAAAATAGAGTTACAGCAAACCCCTAC